ACCTTCCCTCCATGCCTGAGTTCTCTCTGGTCTGTCCGAATTAGAACAGTGGCATTGCATACTATAAATATTTTCTACAATTGGAGATGAGCACCTTATCATCTACTAGGTTGTTAGTGTGGGAGTTTGTGTTACCTTAGTCTGGAGTTGGACCTGGTGAGGTATTTGTTGTTGCCATACCTACCTTCTGTGCACAAAGCACTCTGAACTCCTCCAGTGATATCCTGTACTTAGAATGTGGTCTGGTTTGCCAGATACTCAGTGTCTGCTCTTTGTTCCACACTTTTGGGAGGATCAGTTTCTTATAGCTCTCCCAACTGTATTCTACTGTTTTTATTTGACATTTGTTATCCTGGGGACAAAAGATGGAAGAGAAATCCCCTCTGATGTTCTGATTAACCTCCTTTTTAGGCTGGCAGTGTCCAGAATCTGAGGCATGTGGGACTTCCAAATATTCCTACTTTCAAGCGTAGAGCTGGGCTGAGTGTGTATTCCTGCTCATTTTCCTGAGGTATAGCTGTTTATTTTTCATGTCCATTTCTCCCAAAGGAAATAGACTTCCCCATCACCCTAAGGCCACAGTTTTTATGGCTTTTCTCCCGGGAGATTTAGGCTCCTCCCATCCCCATAAGAAAGATAAAGGAAATGGTTTGGTTGAAGTTTCTCAAGTGGTAGCTCTTCCCTACTCCCCTCAGCCTACAGAATGAGGGACTTTCTCAGGACTCTTCCCATCTTCCCTCCACCGGTGGGTGGAGGTCATGGACAAAGAAGCAAATTTTTGTACTTTGCAACCCCAGGAGGCTTCACACTCTCACTCTCACCTACACATGGCATTTAGTCACTGAAGCATGTCAGCTGAATCTTATTTTCAGCTATGTGGGGTCACCTGTGTCTGCCCCAGGGAAGCACACACTCAAGTTCTGTTCTTTGCAGATGTCTGTCTCTTCCTAGATTTCTAGTTACTTGGTTACTCTGAAATGTTGATTCTCTTATGGGCTCAAGAAAATTGCAGTTTTTCCTTGTCATCTTCGGAGTGATGCCTTTTCCAGCTTTCTACATCTCTGAGATGAAACCGAGAATTTATCATCTATAGTAGCTTCTATCCATTAAATATTTTATTTCAGGTGTTGTATTACTTGGAAAAATAACAGACTTCAGGGCATGGAAAATATAAAGTTATGCTAGGACACTTTGTTCCTTACAAAAATCAAGGAAATAGTAACAGAATTATAACAAAAGTCCACAGAAGTGAGGTTTAACGGGCTTCCACTGGCCAAAGCAGAGAGTAGATGAACATCAAATTAAGCAATCAGAACAGGTTGTAACAAACTTAACAGGAAACCATGTGTCTATACAAATATAAATAAGAAAACAAATTGAAATTTTTGTGAAAACTATCAAAACTGTTACAAAGCTTATTCCTAGAAAACAGCTAGGAATGTTCTGAGGTCCCACTTTACCCATCCTTGGCTACTCCCACTTACTTCCCTTGTGTGTTCTGCAATCCATAGTTGCTTGCTCTTCCACTGTACAAATTTGGGAACCTAATTTTAAGACTTCCAGGAACTTGAGCTTAATTTAGGAGCCTCAGATTCTCTCACCTCAAAAGCCCAAGAATTTGTTTATTTGCAGTGCCAATAAGGTTACCTTCCCTCAGGGAAATTCTTGTGTGCTCACTACTTAACTGTTCAGGTTTTTGCTCAGTTTTTGTTTTTTGCTTCTTTATTAGTGCTTTGGAGACTTAATTTCTTTTTTATTTTTGTGCAGTTGTTTTTTGGCTGGGGCCAGGTTTGAACCCACCACCTCTGGTATATAGGGCTGGTGCCCTACTCCTTTGAGCCACAGGCGCCACCCAGGAGACTTAATTTCTATAACACAGAAATACAGTAACAATAATGTTTTCTAAATAATTTGCTTTGTAGTAAGAGAGCCCCTAGGGTTTCCAGTCCTTCCTATCATCATCAGAAGAAAGTTTTTATATGTATTTACAAAAAAGCTATGTTTTAAAGACATTTATCAGGATATGTATGAAACTGTATTGCTCTTAGGTCTTCTTAGGTTTTACCTCTGATAGTTGGCCAGTGTCACAGCAAGTAATGCTACACTTGGCAGCAGCTCTACTTGGGAGCTGTTTCTCCCAGAAACATACAAAGTGCAGGCAGCATCAGGCATTGCTTGTCACTGTCCACACAGGCACCCTGGACTACACTCTTGGCTTCCCAAAAGCAACTCAGGTGGAATACAGTGAGGACATGGGCTTGGCTTGGAAGCCCTTGGCCCACGGGAACCAGTATCATATTCTTTCCCTGAGTTTATCTTTTAGATACCTACACTCAGTTAAGAGAATAACCACACTTAGGAGATGGTAAAGGTAAGGCTTCCTAACAGGTTAAGATTATTCAGTGCTTTTAAGTCAGAGGTCATTTTTACTATAAGCAATGTTGTTGATACTACAGTTAACACTCCACTTTCTTTAGGTTTCTAGGACAAGTTAGAAAGTTAACCCAAAGTGAAATCTGTCTGTAAGGAAAAAGGGTTAAAGCTTTACCTATAGTAATTTATCAAGATCTGCAAACATTGTATGTCCAACCTCAACAATTTCTCCAATGGGTATTTCATCAGAAAAGTTTAGAGACTCCCGTTTTAGAGAAATTCAGTTTCAAGTGATATATATGTATTTATTTTTATTTATTTTTTTGAGACAGAACCTCAAGCTGTTGCCCTGGGCAGAGTGCCGCACCATCCAGCTCCCAGCAACCTCCAACTTCTGGGCTAAAACGATTCTCCTGCATCAGCCTCCCAAGTAGCTGGGACTACACAGCCACAATGCTAGGCTATTTTTTGGTTGCAGCTGTCATTGCTGTTTGGTGGCCGCGGGCTGGATTCGAACCCGCCAGCTCAGGTGTATGTGGCTGGCGCCTTAACGGCTTGAGCTACAGGTGCTGAGCCTCAAGTGGTTTATATTATAACGGATGTCCCTTATCAGACATGGCTATTAAGGTATCCGTGAGATTATTCCATCTTTAATTTTTTTTTGAGACGTTCATCTCAAGATCACCACTAAAATCACACTGAAAACACCTTCTGAGTTACGCATTAACTCTCCACATTTCAAAAAATAATGAAAGGTAATGAGCTGTTTAAGCCATTTAAATATGGATGTATTACTGTGTTTCTTAATAGATGAGGTTCTTTGCAAGGTTTTGCTTTGGTAGTGATTTCTCATGGTTGAAGGGAAAGAAAGTTATTTAAAAATCTATTTTTGGTTTTCATTTCATTTATTTATTTATTTATTCATTTTTTGCAGTTTTTGGCCCGGGGCTGGGTTTGAACCCGCCACCTCCGGTATGGGGCCGGGGCCTTTCTCCTATGAGCCACAGGCGCCACCCTGGTTCTTATTTTAAATTATTATTTGCATTCATTATTAATCCAGTAATGTTTATTTTTCTTAATATTTTATATACCAAATTTAAAGCATATATAAAAGTTGAATGAATTTTACAGAGTCCTTACCATTAAGGTTTTATTACACATGACCGTTTTACATATCCATCCGACTATCCACCCCTAATCAGCGCTGGCCTTCGGCTTCTGACCTCTGCACACTGACCGTTCGCTATATGGTTGTATTAGGCATCTTTCTGAAACACAAATCTTTTTATTTTATTTTTTTTATTTTTTATTTTTTTAGACGGAGCCTCAAGCTGTCCCCCTGGGTAGAGTGCCGTGGCATCACGCTCACAGCAACCTCCAACTCCTGGGCTCAAGCGAGTCTCCTGCCTCTGCCTCCCAAGTAGCTGGGACCACAGGCGCCTGTCACAACGCCTGGCCATTTTTTTTTTTTCCGGTTGCAGCCATCATTGTTGTTTGGCGGGCCCGGGCTGGGGATTCGAACCCGCCACCTTAGGTGTATGTGGCTGGCGCCTTAGCCGCTTGAGCCACAGGCGCCGAGCCTGAAACACAAATCTTATGTAAATTCTGTTGTTAACATGTTTCAACAGGCCCTATAGTCAGAAAAACAGCCCAAAGTCCTGAATATATTTTTCCTCTTGCCTACCTTCATAGCCTCGTGGCTCACTGCGCTCCATCCTGCCCCGGCTGAGAACAAGTCACAACTCACACGCGTCTGCGGGTCCTTGCCTGGACTTCTTTCTCCACCTAAGTTGGTTCTCCTTTTTTCAGAAACTACTTTCGTCTTGACCGAATCAATGTTTGCAGTTTGTGTTCTTAATGACCATAGCACCTCCAAACCCCAATTGCCCGCTGCTCACAGTCGCCTTCTCTGCACACGCATCTGCGTAGCCCTTGGCCCTCTGCCCGCCGCTGCCGTTCCCAGCCCTCTTCCTTCACCTCACTTGCTAGCATCTCCTCTGTTAACTTTCTCGCTTAGCATCTCCTCGTTACCTTTCTCAAAAAGGTGAATGCGGGGAGCTGTCCATTTGTCCACGCCTTATCCTCAGTGCCCAGAAGACGCAAGGACAGTGAGGACCCGGAGCCGACTAGGGCACCGGCGCCCACCCGCAGCCCACCTGGGCGAGGTGCCTTGGGGCGCGGAGCGGAGGGTCGCGGGGGGTCTGAGGGAGGTATGCGGCGGCGGGGGCTGCCCGCGCCCCAGCCCGCGGAAGCACCTGGCCCTGACCTGTCCGCTCCCTTACTTCCCCTCAACACATCCCGTCGGCGTCCACGACTGCAGGTGTTCCCGCACGCAAAGGCCAGACTCGAGCCGTCCCCACCTGGTGCGCTGCGGCTCCCGGCTCACCCTTCCAGCAGAACACCAGCTACCGTAAAACTCTGCTTTGCCAACTGCTGCAAAGCGCTTTACGACGAGAACCTGGAAGCGACCTACGGCCAGCAACCGCCCCCGCCGGCTTTGAACATTTGGGTTTCAGTATCTTCGCGGAGGTGGCCGCCGGGTGTTTGTATTCCACGCGTGGCACGCGTCACTCGGAGGGGGCCACCGAGGGGCAGGCCCCGGCACTCCCGCCCCCACGCCCGCACCGGCCCGCCCGCCTCCCGGCCTCCATCTTCCCAGGGCGCACCGCGGCGCGCGGGTCCGCGGCCATGTTGCGGTAGTTTGTTGTTTTCTTCCTGCGGAGGTGAAGGTCCGCTGTGGACCACGACGAGCCCGGCCTCGTCTCTGCGTACTCCTTGCCCCGGTCCTGGCCCGCAGTGCCCCACACCCCCGTTCTGCGCCACCTGTCCCGGGGCCCGGACCAGGCCCGGCGGCCCACCAGCTGGCTTGGTGGGGCGAGGCTGAAGGCCGGGCCCAGCGAGCACCATGGCGGCCTCCCTGGGAGCTGGCGGAGGAGCAGGCGCCGGAGGTACGTGAAGCCGGCGGGCTCCGGGACTAGGCCCGGCCGCGGGGCGGGTCTGGTTGGGGCTTTCTTCCTCGCGGGAGACTCGGCCTTCCCTGGCCCCGACTCTGTGTCCGGCCCATTCAGGCCTCTCCGCTTCCTTCCTTCCCCATTGTCATCCCGTCTTGCTCTCTCCTCCTCCCCGGCGTGCATGTCGTAGCTACCCGTGGGCTTCTGTGGTTTTCCAGCCTGCGTGAGGTGTTAGTCCCACCTTCAGCGTTGGCGGGCATTAGCAGTGAAACTGGCCTTGTGTTCCAGGGAGCGGAGAGCGCCCCCCGCCCTAGAGTGTGGCGGGGCTACTTGCTTCAGGGTGGTTACGATTGCTGGGCCACCCTATTTTAGATGGATTTCAAATTCGTTACAAAAGCATGACTGGAAGAATCACCCTTGTGAAGTTAGGTTCTACAGCAGTATGGCATTTAGAATCTTGAGAAATAGATTCAACTAATGCCCCCCTTTTAAATTAGCTCACTTGTTTAATAAAAATGTTAGTGTTTTGTTGTCCGCATCTTACAGAGGTGAAAACGGGCCAAAAAAGTTTAGATATTGAGTTAGTTACTTTGGGTAGTTTCTCTTGTTTGACAAGCATAAACGATATTGCTAGAGCACTTCTCGCAAATTTTAGATGGTCATTCAGAGGTAAAATCTCATTGTGAATTGGGAGTTCTCTTTTAAGATGTAGAAATATTCTTGAAAGTGACTTTTCAAATGTTTGCTTTGAAAACTTAATGATAAAGGAGACCTGGAGATGGTAAAGTATGAACAATAAAATCATTTGAGATTAGCTCTCATTATTGAAACATTCAAAAGCCATTCTAGTGTATACTCGTAGGTGTTTTGAAATAAATGCTTGCAGATGGGTAAACTGCAATAATCCTGCTTAGGGATTTTGGCCCAAATAACAAAACATTCTCATGAAAAAATGGAGTTTAAATATAGACATGTCACTTCTGACCATATGATTTGGCTTTCTTTCTGTCAGTTTGAGTAGATGATGGTTTGCCTGTTAGATCACAGGCTTTCTAGGTTAATTTTATTTATTTACTTTTTTGAGACAGATACTCTATTGCCCTGGGTACAGAGTGCTGTGGCATCATAGCTTACAGCATCTTCAACTCTTGGGCACAAATGAACCTTTTGCCTCAGCCTCCCTAGTAGCTGGGACTACATGCGCCCACCACCATACCAGGCTAGTGTTTCTGTTTTTAGATACAGGGTCTTGCTCTTGCTCAGGCCGGTCTCCAACTCTTGAGCTTAGGTGATTGATTCACCTGCCTGCACCTCCCAGAGTGGAGGATCACAGACTGGAGCTACTGTTCCAGCCTCTAGGTAAATTTTAAAATGTAAGGCTTACCAACCTTACTTGGTTACTTTCTGGGGGCCAAAATTGTGTATGTCATTCCCAGTGTAGTTGGAGATGTGGGTCAAAACCGTTATCATTAAAAAGATGAAGATGTTTTTGCATTTTTCACTCTTTTTTCATTAGTGGAGTTTTCTAGAGGCTGGATGACATGCCAGACATTACACTGATGGCCCATGGGTGCATGATCGTGTGTTCTAATTTTCTCATTTTAAAATATGTATCAATGTATATAATCCATACAAACAAAAGATTTTTGGGGTCCCCAATAATTTTGAGGCCAGAAAGTTTGAGAATTGATACTTTAGAGGAATAGGTAATTTTTATTCTTGATGTTTTGGAGTTTATCTTTTCATTTTGTCACCAGTGCCAGGTTTCTCTTTCCTGTTAGACTAAAAGCAAATTCCTTGCCAAGGTTTATGAGTTCTATATGACTTGGGCCCAGCCTGCTTCATCAAGATGTTTTGTTCGGTGTTTTCCTTATTCAGGAAGTCCATTTTATGAGCTGGAACACTTTTGTCCTCACTCTTACCAGCACTGACACCTGATCCAGGGTCTCAGACTTCTGAGGGAGGCCTTCCTTGAGAAATCATTCTGTCTGAAGTCATGTCCATCTCTTTCTTACGTGTCTTCCTCCTTTTTGTTCTGTGGCACTGCTGTTTCCCTTGTTTTCTTCAAGGCTTTTATCTCAGTTTTTATATTATTGCTTTATATTATTTGCTTTTTTCCCCAAATCTGCCTCCTCCGTTAGCCTGTAAACCCCATGAGAGCAGGAATGTTGCCTGTTTTTACCATGATTCCAAATGTTCCTTGAATATAGTAAGTGTTCAACACATTTTGACAAATGATTTAATGAAATGTTTATGAATCTGAAAAATAATCTACAGTTGTGTCCTAAGTTATTTTAATCAATCCCATATTTACCTGTATAGCTAAGTCATGTTAAAAGGGAGAAATACGGGCGGCGCCTGTGGCTCAGTGAGTAGGGCGCTGGCCCCATATACCAAGGGTAGCAGGTTCAAACCTGGCCCTGGCCGAACTGCAACCAAAAAATAGCTGGGCGTTGTGGCAGGTGCCTGTCCTCCCAGCTACTTGGGAGGCTGAGGCAAGAGAATCACTTAGGCCGGGAGCTGGAGGTTGCTGTGAGCTATGTGACACCACGGCACTCTACCGAGGGTGATAAAGTGAGACTCTGCCTCTACAAAAAAAAAAAAAAAAGGGAGAAATACTTAATATTGTTTGGTAATACCTCCTTTATAGCTATAGATTGCTTATTTGGAAACTTAGCATGTTGCCTAGCACAGTGGCTTTCAAACTTTTCAGTGTAAAATGGTTGTGATTTAGTACACACATAAAAAGAAGAAAAAATTTCATTAACAATACTAGTCCATACTATGTGCCACCCACTTTGTTTTCTATTTTGTTGCAGTAAAATGCTGGTTGTGATCTAATTTAATCTCACAGTCCACCTAATGTTCAAGATTGCCAGTTTGAAAATCACTGGCTTCCTGTTTAGTTAAGTGGTTAATGCTTACTGAATAAAATGGATCTTGGCTATCCAGAATGTAGCTAGAAACAAATGGAATCTTTGGGTAGACAGAATAGGTACCGCAAAGTACAGGAGTGTTTACTTAGGTCCTCTCTGGAAGGAGGGCAACTTACTCTATCTTAATTTTAGGTAGGAAGGCAACTTCCTCTTACTTAACTTTAGGTAGGAAGGCAACTTACTCTTTCTTAACTTTAGGTAGAGTTCTAATGAGTCATTTGCTGTTTTTGCCAAATAATAAGGATGGGGAAATGGACCCGTTAACCATATTATTAGAATCTCATTTGTTATGTATTAGAAACTGAAATAAAAAACTAAGTGCAGAAAGTATGGCATTTTGGCACTGGAGCAGATAGTTTAATTCAAGAACTTTCAGGACTTTCTTATAAAATACACAGAAAAAACAAAAAATCACATAAATCTTAAAAAACCTCCAAGCTAATGTTTATTTAATGACATACAGTTCATAAAGCAGTTTATGAACTACTCTGTAAGTATGTGCATTATCACACTTAAGATTTATAATAGTGTTCTTAGGCCTCTGAGAGCCTGATTTTGTAGGCAAGAAAAACAGAAATGGGTACTTTTAAGTTTTTCTAGTTGGATCTTGTGAAGTTTTCAGTGGAATTTTTCGAACATACCCAGTGATTGAAAGAATAATGAACCCATCCATATACCCCTCTTCCAGGCTCAACATTCGTCAGCACTTTGCCAATCTCTTTTCATCTATTCCCATCACCTTCCTCCATCTTTGTGCTTTTTAGACAAATTTCAGGCTTGCAAGATTTTAGAGCAAGAATAAACTGCAGAAATGAGATATACTCTAGATACTAAACCAGTTGTTACAATTAATTTCTGGTTGAGAGGAAACTGGCTCAGAGAAGTTCAGTTAATTGACTATTGAATGGAAGGTAGAGTAGAGTTAAGGGCTTTTAACTTGTAGTTCAATGTTTTTTTCACTGTGTCATTGTAAATCTGTGATAGTATATAGTATGAAAGTATGAAGCAGAGGGCCAATGTTAACCAGTTTGATGGAAGTGTTTCAGATTGTTTGTGAAAACCCCACACTGTACCCCAGAAGTGCATTAATGTACACAGTTACTATTCAATAAAAAAAAAAAAAAGAAATTGTTAAAATGAAGCAAGTTTTAGTGCTTCAACAGTTAAATTTACCCAGTCGAAAATTGGTGAAACACTTTAATCTCTAACGGTGCTGATAAATGGGGTATTTTTGTATTGATAATTATGTGTGTGGAAGCCACTTAGTTCTTAATTTTTTCTGCTTTAAGAAAATCTTTCACACCTAATTTTTTATCTTCAATCAAGAGAATTTGGGAGGTGGAGGAAAGGATAAGACTCATTTCAGATTCTCTTTAGCATTTCTTTTTTTTTTTTT